AATGAAAAGTCAATCTTATGATAAATTACTCAAAAATGCACAAAGTCATCAGATTTAACTAGAGTTACCATTTCAATGAGAAAAATTGATAAATGGTAAGAGATCAAACATCCTGCTTGTACCAGCCTTCGAAGGAAAGGTTATTATGAGACTATGAAAGAAATGAAATCGTGACTGAGCTGCATTGGTTAGCTACCCCACTCCTCATTGGTTATGCGCGCTATGGTACAACAGGATAAGAAGTAAAAGGCAAGAAAATGAAAAACATAAACCGATCCATACAAGGGTACGATATCTGTAAAGAAGAATGAAAAGAATGAGAAACCCAATATGAAAGTCGTTCAGAACGTGAAAATTGTAGCGCCCTCAAGAATTAAATATGTTTAATTGTGATAATTATGGTTTATTAGTGTGCCTAAATTTGATTTTTCTTAATTAATTAAGAACTTTTAAACTTACTTTTAGTATTTATAATTTCACCCCAGAAGTGTGTGAAAATACATGTTTCGACCCCTTTTACTTTTATTTGTCTTTCCTCATTATTTTTCCTCATTTTCTTTTCTTTTCCTTATGTCCCTCTCTCTTTCTCTCGTTACCCTCTCACTCTCCCCCATTCTCTCTATCTTGTCTCTCTCTCTCTCAGTTTCCCTCTCACCGAGCTCTCTCTCTCTCTCTCTTTCTCTCTCCCTCTCTCGTTCATCTCTCTCTCAAAGTCTCCTCTCTCTTCAAGCGGATTTTGGGCCGGATTTGAACCAAAAACGGAGATTTCCAAGAAGTTTTCAACATCGAAGCCTAAATCGAGGTAAAACTCTCTGAAACTCACTTTAGATTTTTGGATCTAGCCTTGTGGAACTCGTTTTAGTCTAGTTTGGTGATTTTTGGTTTAAATTTGTTTTCGAATGAATTTTGAATGGATTTTGATGAAACCTTGATGAAATTTAGGGGATTTTGATTTATTGGACCCCATTTGTTGATTAGAACCGGATTTACAAATTTCTCATCAGAATATGTTAAAATCGAACCTGAAATTGTAGGATTTGGCTTCGTTTCCCGTGGATTGGCCATTTTTGGCCCTGGAGTTTTTCCGATCGACCAGTGGAGTTACACTCCTCTATCACCGGTCAACTGGTTCACACTAAGTCTGACCCTAAACAGTTCAAAAACCATGTTTTGACCCCAAAACTCAATGTAGAACCGACCTAACTTCATTTGAGAACTCAAAATGAGTGGATTAGCCACATTGATCCTTGTTCCCATTCAATTTTTCAGAATGAATCTCAATTCCCAAAGAATCACGATTTGAATCAAGAATTGTTTATAAACTTTGATTTTAAGTTAAGGCACACTAATATGATACAATTGTATATCCTTAAACAAGAATGTTTAGAGGAAAAGATTGAACTCTAAATCGTTGATTTTGATGAGGAAGTTAGTGGCACGATTGGAATTGGACCTTCAAAGGCAAGTGGAGCTAGGGCTACGTGAAGATAGCCACAGGTTTGATATCTGAGAGGTAGGATATTCTTGTCCATATCCTTGTTATCCTTACTTTAAATAATTTTGGCAAATGAAAATGTTTGAGAACAAAACATGTTTAAAGACAATAGCATGAATAATGCTATTGAGTTTCAAATGATTTTAGAAATGAGCTTTTAAAGAGTATCATTTCTTAAAATGAAATATTTTAAGAAATGATAAAACGCATGGTGGTCACAGAGATAGGGATATGGGAACCGTATCCTTGGGGGCAGGTCCCGAAACCCGTACGGTCCACTTCTTGCTCAGTGGTGTTATGGTTCTGCATATTTTCATTATACAGATATTTTATTACTACTACGTGAGTATTTCCTTTTTCTAAAAAGGATGATCAGTTCAGGGTGCATGTCTTCGAACCGTGAGTACCTTACTTACAATGTTATATAAAATTATATCCTATTGGGCCTTATGCTCACTTTTCTTGTTTTAACTGTATTAAACCCCTTTAGGCGACATGAGGAGTAGTGCTGAATAGGTAGCTACTACCGGTGAGGTGAAACCGTCTTCAAAAAGTGAAGATTCGTATTTTCCTTTCCCTTTATCTCAAGGCATGTACTAAATTATGGATTGTAAACTCAGATATTGCTAGATTGTGGTTGAGGTCAACATTTACTTTTGTTTATATTCATGTATGCTAAACCTGTTAGAATTCCTGACATGATACTAGGGGTGAGGTTTTTGAACTGGTTTGGTTAGAAATTCCACCACTTTCCCTGAAACTGAATGTCTTATAAATAGTGGGGTTAATTTGAAAATACATGGATATTTTAGATTTGAAATTTAAATTTTTACACTGTTGATTGTTAATCACTTTTTTAAACAGGTTTTAAATTTCTAAATAAGCCTCCATGTCACTAACCCCTGTTAGGGGTCGTGACAAGACTTGGTATCCCTAACAGGGTTAAATTTTTTAAAATGCTAAAAGTACCCCTCTACGTATCAAAAAATGTTTTTATCTACATATGTTGCTGTAGATGACGTTTTAACCCTTGTTTGGCATGAAAAATTAAGTTTAATTGATTTTACACACTTGTGATCCTAATTTTCAATCTAATGATGAGAAAAAAAAAACATTTTTATGTCATTTTTAATAATAGTATTATCAAACAATTTATACTTATAACATTAGGAGATGCTAGAGAATCTCCATCCACTCAGCATTCAAACAAAAACGTATGTATCGCAAAAATTAGAAGCATTATGTTGTGGAAAGTAAGATAAATAAACTATTTCAATGATTTTATTTCAGCAAAAAAAAAAAAAAGGAAAAATATTTAAACCATAAAAAAAAAGAAAAAACTATTTCATTATCTAAATAATATCAATCTATCTAAGACCAATGGTTGACATCAGTTGACCAAATAAGCATGAATTAGATAAATGGTTGAAATTTGACATCATTAGATCAATGCTGATATTAAATAGGGTATTTTTGTCTTTTTACTTCCCAACTTAACAGAATTAGATTTAAGGGGTGTTGATGATGTTATTAATTTTAGTAAGGGAATGTATCTGTTATTTTAGTAAAACACATGTAATAAATCTTTAAAAAATTTAAAATGAATATCACGTTGTAAGCTAAAGAAAACAAAAAACCTTTAACACTACAAAAGTAACATAACTCTTAACGTCATGCAACAAAACATCTAAAACAAACAATTCTCTTTATAAAGAAAAAAAAGTAAAAAAGAAAAGAATAAATATACATAAAAAGAAAAAAAGAGAAATAACACAAGAAGTCCAAAAAGAAGCCTTTTCTGCATTTCCCTTCTTGCCCTTTCGGGCAGGAAGGGAACTGCCCAAACTAGCAGTAAACGCTTTAAGAAGCGAACAAGAGTGGCTATATTTTAATAGGAAAGCCAAAAAATAATAGTTTAAAATTTAAATCTCAGTTTCCACCTAATCTGATGCTGTTTTAGATTGGATCTGATTTCATAATAGTCTTCAGAGGAATTGACTTGAAGTCTTCAGAGGATCTGATTTCATAATGCTCTTTTTTTCTGACCGTTGCTCGTTTTTCAGCCCAAATTCTATCCGTCGAGATTAAAAATGACTGTTGGATTCAAATTTAGGGAAAAAAATTTAATTTTTTAACTTAAAAATTTTTCTATAAATATCTCTCATCCTCCACATATTTTTCTTATCTAAACTCTCTCAATCTCTCTCAATTTCTCTTAATCTCTTAAATCTCTCTCATCATTTTTTCAAAAACTATCACAATATCCTAAAACTCTCTCTCTCTCAAATCGCTCCTATTTTTTGTAATGAATTCTTTCGGTTATGGTGGTATTCATGTTAATGCCTAACAGAACGTGAAAGAAGGGTAATTTCCTACTAATGAATTTATTACGCAAGAATTACAAACACAACTACCTCAGGAACCTACAAATCCGAGCCTTAGTGGACGTACTGGAGGTTGTGGCCACAATGGTGGTGGGCATGGAGGAGAGGCAAGTGCAAGTCCTATTGCGTCTGCAAGTGTTGCAACCTCCAAGAGGAAATGCAAGCACACCTCAACAGTTTGAGATCACTTCGACACAATTGAGGAGGTCGAAAATGACGGTAACACAAAACACATAGCTCAATGTAAATATTATTATTCTAAATTACAATGTGACACTATTCACAACACAACACACTTGAGAAGACACTCCGAAAAGTGTCTTCAAAAGCGTGGCCAAACCAGTGGAGCCGAACTCCACCAAATACAATTATCATTTGATCGCACAACCGGTGGTCTAACCACTTAGAAATACGATCTGCAAGTAGATCGTAAGAAAGTTGTGCGAATGATAGTTGCATTAGATCAACCATTTAGTTTTGTAGACCATCCTAAATGACAACGATATATTAAAGTTGTACACAATTCTAATGCACAATTTTTTTTTTCAAAAATTACTATTAGGAAAGATTTGTTAAAATTATTTAAACAAGAAAAAGAAGCATTAATAAACCTTTTATACTCTACTAGCGACTGTGTTGCGTTAACGGCATACATGTGGTCTGCCGTTGCCAACAAAGATTATTTATCTGTAACCGGACATTATTTTAAAGACTTCAATTTCGATAAGAGAATATTAAGTTTTAAATGTGTTCTAGGATCACATAACGCCGATTTATATATAATACAATTTTAAATGTAATTGATGAATAAAAGATTAAAAGATAAAGTGATGGCTATAACACTAGATAATGCTAGTACAAATACTAAAGTAATTGAATATTTCAAAAATGATTTAAGTGTATTCGATGATGGTATATCTTTTACCAACGTTGTGCATGCCATGTAATTAATTGAATAGTGAAATCGGGTTTAAAATCAATGGCTACTCACATTAAAAGAATTAGAGATAGTATTATATAGATTCAAGATAGTAACTAAAGAGAACAAGAATTGTTTAGGTTCTTACAAGTATTAAATCTAACTCCTAGAGCATTAGCTCTAGATATGCCTGTAAAATGAAACTTAAAATCAGTTTTTTCGGGTAGTCGCGGGCGGCCAGTCTAAAGTTCCAGCACTGGTCTCTAACGGGTCCCTCATTGTACCATAATACATAAAAATAATGAAGATTCGTGTTATGTTTCGAATTGCAGCTGATTACAGTATTTTCTCTCACGAAAAACGCACATAAATTAAAAATAATTCTGAATCATAATTCTAAAACCAAACACCTACTAAATCTCTATCCTAGGCCCTCTAGCCAACCATCAAATCCAATATTCGTCACTGCGAACGTCATTTATTTTCTCTACAGTTCTTTTCTTATCTTAATCCTCGCCACGTCCCACGATAAATGAAATCAATACTTTGACTTTTAAAAGACGTATCCACTACTTAAAGTAGTAATCCAACCAAAGTTTTTCTAAAATATTCAAACCAGTTACTATACAACGCCGCCGAAAGCACCACTCCACCACGCTCCTCCACGCGCCGCTGACGCCAATGGCAAAGCCCCGCTTCCTACTCGTCGTTTTACCGGCGCATGGCCACGTTAACCCGGCCCTACAACTTGCCAGGCGTCTAGTTCTCATCGGCTGCGAAGTCACCTTCGTCACCACCGTCCGCGCCCACCGCCGCATGATCACCAAAGGTGGCGGAACGGACGACAACAACGACAATAATTTCACCCCACCGAACGGCATGTCCTTCACGCAGTTCTCCGATGGATACGACGACGGTTTTGGCCCTAAGGCCATAGATTTCACCGTCTACAGTTTGGAGCTCCGCAGCCGCGGCTCCCAAGCTCTCATAGATCTCGTCGATTCGAGTAAGAACGAAGGCCGTCCGTACACCTGCATGATCTACACGTTCATTATGCCCTGGGTTGCTGACGTGGCAGCGAAGCTCGGGATCCCGGTGGCGCTTTTCTATGTCCAGACGGCGACTGTGTTTGATCTCTGCTACTATTACTTCCATGGCTATGGTGATCTCATCAGGGACAAAATGGTAAATGATCGTTCATGTTCTTTAGGATTTCCAGGGCTTCCACTCGATTTTGCTGTTCGTGATCTTCCCTCGTTCTTGGACGCTTCAGATTCAAAGTTGGGTTCTCTCGTCCAATTGTTTCAAGAACAGTTTGACGTGATTGGCCAAGAAAGTCAACCAAAGATTTTGGTCAACACGTTTGATGCGTTAGAGCCGGAGGCACTGAGAGCACTTTGTGATAATTATAAGTTGAATTTGATTGGAATCGGACCGTCGATCAATCCGGTTGAGCTTCGAAATTCAGATGATAAAAATTACAAGATTAGTAAATGGTTGAACTCTAAGCCAAAAGGGTCAGTGATTTACGTGTCGTTTGGTAGCATCGCGGTGTTAACAAAGCCCCAAATGGAGGAAATCGCAAAGGGGTTGTTGGATTTTGGCCGTCCTTTCTTGTGGGTCATTAGAGAAAACGACAACAAAAACAAAGATGAAAGAGGAGGAGGAGAAGAAGAAGAGAAAGTGAGTTTTAAAGAAGAATTAGAGAAGGTTGGGAAGATAGTTCCATGGTGTTGTCAAGTTGAGGTTTTGTCTAACAATGCTTTGGGGTGTTTTGTGACGCATTGTGGGTGGAATTCTACTTTGGAGAGCTTGGTTTGTGGAGTCCCTGTTGTGGCTTTCCCACAATCAGTTGACCAATTAACCAACGCCAAGTTGATAGAGGATTTTTGGAAAACTGGGGTAAAAGTGAAGGCCAATGAGGAGGGAATTGTTGAGGGTCAAGAAATAAAGAGGTGTTTGGAATCTGTAATGGGCGGAGAGGAAATGAGAAGAAATGCCCAGAAATGGAGGGATTTGGCTTGGGAAGCTTCCAAGGATGGTGGATCTTCTGATACCAATCTTAAGGCTTTTGTGAGTGATGTGATTGGATTGAAGACCATTTCTTAATGAAAAAGTGATTGGATTAAAGACGATTTCTTAATGAAAAACAGACTTTTGGTGTCCTTTTAGGCTCTTTTTTTAGTGGTTGATATTTGTCCTTTTGCTAAGTAGTGTCTTTTTTTTTTGTTTTTTGCTAGAATTTTTTGCTTAGTTATCTTCCACAGGGTCGTGTACTTTCTCCTTATTAGTAGAGAGGCATCTTATCCTATTCACTTCTCATCCAACCATTCAACTTTCTTCCTATAATTTATATTTCCACGCTATAAATAAGACGAAAACGACCGCTTACTTGTTGGTAACCGGTTAGCAGGGGGAAAAAAAAAAAAAAACCCTTATGAACTCTCTCTCTACATTTATTTCGTTGCCTTCACCTTCTCTCCTCTCTCTGAATATCATCTTCTCTCTCCCAAACTTCATTTTATAAATATACTAAAGGAGACTCGGGGTACTATTTACGCATACCCATTTTATTGTTCTTTCTACAGCGAAATGGTCATTTTGCTCTCAATTTACTGCTCCCTCCTTCGTCTTGCGCGGGGACAATTTAGTCTTTAGGTTATGTTGTCGTTTGCTTTGCCATTGGTGTGTGATTTTTGGTCATTTCGCGTGTGGAGCTCTATGTTTTCCCCTTCTAAGAATTTCTACTTTTCTCAGTCGCTTTGTCTTTTCTTTTTTTTCTTTCTTCTCTTCCTTTGATTCGTTTCTTTTGCTTGGTTTTGGCTGAAATCTTGCATCTGTTCTCTTATGGCTTCAATCTCTTTGCCCCTTTTGTCTCATTCGCGTGGAGAGTTGGGATTTTTATCCTTTTCTTTTATGGATTTTTTG